ATATCAGCCAGAAAGATATGCTGGCCTCGGTTCTGCGCGTGACTGGTGCCAGTTTAAATGATTGGAAAGTAAACTATGAACCAGTCAAGGATCGTTACAAAGCCGGAGTGGAAGAGTTCAAGAAGGGTAACATGCTGGGCTTTGCAAAATTACTTTACTCAAGGGCATTCTACCCAGACAATAATAGTAATTATGAAGAGAGAAAAGGTCTGCATAATGACATTCTTGGTCTGCCCAAAGAAAACTTGGATGAATACACGAAGATCGCTGTGGATATGGCGGAGAAACAAAGTTGATCGAAACAAACATTTTCCTTGACTTACTGTTTAACATAATGCAGATTTATCTTCTTTTTTTTCACACTACTCGTCTATGTGCCTATAGAAAGAGAATATAAAAAAACAAATAACTCGAACATCTGTTGGATAAACCTAACGATTATTTGACTATTTTATTTATATAAAAACCGACAAAAGCATTTTGCCTTCCTTTCAAGTCATTCGTTTGAATAGACGAATGAAATAAAAAAGGATGAAATTAATACTTCACAAAGTCATATCTTGTTTTTCATGAATGAAGAATTCGATGTGATTACGATCTGTTCAGAGCAAATCTTCAAGAAAGAAAAGAAAACGAGCGAATTTTCATCGATATTGAAACGATATAAAACTCATTCAAGAAGAAAATGAAATGATCTGAATTGATAAAGATTTTGAGAATCATTGAGAAATATTCCTCGTATAAAGAAAAAAGAAAACTGAATTTGAGCGAAGAAGAAAATGATTTAAAAGTTGAAATTTGATTGGAAATTGTGAAAAATGTTTTTTAAATTGAATCAAAGAATAGGAAAATTGGAATAAGTTGTAATCAAAATCTGAATTAAAAGATTTCTCTTCTCTTCTTCAACAAAAAAATCGGAGTGAAACATTGTAAAATAAATCTTTTCTGGCTCTCCTCGATAACAAACAAATCTATCAAATATTTTCTACAACTTTTTCAGATTTTCTTCACCAAATGAATTAGGTAAAAAAAAATCTTATTTGTAATTTAATAGTTGTGAAGAAGGTTTTAATTGTAAAATAATTCCCCTTCAGATCTTCGTTTTACATCACATTTATACGGTTTTATCGAATTTTCTTTCATAAATTAAACAAAATTTCTCATTAAAACAATCACATTATGAGTACAATTCGATTTTTCCGAATCATTGCATAATTAGCTGAGATATGTGATTGAACACACACAAATCTCACGATTGTTTGTTCATATTCGATAAAAATAGTTTTTTTTTTATTGAACTTAGATTTTCAACTTCGCAGGAAAACAATTCTCATGAGTAGAACTTACACGACTATTCTAAAAATGGATTGATTTTATCGGTTTTCTTTAGAATGGAGTTGAATTTTTAACGAAAATCATAATATATCGATCGATATGAATATTCTGACAAAACAAACGACATTTCTTGATACTTATGAACAGAAAAATGCTAATCAAAAGCAATGTTGGTATAGATTCAAATACAGAAAAATGAGTTCGAATCACGAAGATAAATCTAATATAAAAGTATCTAATTGAATTGTCAACGTGAAGTCGACTGGTTGGTTACTTTGCATATTGAGTTTAAAAGTTATTCATCCCGATATCATACAGATTGAGTTTCATTCATTTTGTTTCCTACGCGTACAATCGACATCAAGGAACATCTAATATTTCATTCTCATAATAAATCAGAATGTTTTGCAAATCAAATATCAATTTCATCAAAAGTTGAAATACAATCCTTTGAAGATATTTGTGTGAACATCATGTCCTGTTTTTTATCATCATATTCTTCAACGAGTTGTATCTTAATAACCCGATGATCGGAATCTTTCGTAAAATATGACTCGTTACTTATACACTTTATAAACATATATTTCAATCGATTAATGGAATAGAGATAAGGAAGAGTCAATAAGATGCTTTCAAATACTCTGAAAGAGATGTTGAAATGAATGCAATCGAAAATCTCGTTTAGTTCTCATTAACAATGATCATACATGTGATGATTTCTCCAAATTTTATGAATATTATTTCAGTCGGTGGATCAAAACCAATGACATTTTTATTGAATGAAGAGCGCCTGCACAAGTGTCGAGCATATTTTTATCTTTCGATAATAAATTCCGAATTGTTTACTCATATTTATTCATCGTGAAAATCGAAATAATTGCTGTCGTAAATTGACTTTGGTGATTGGAAATGATGATTATGTCATGAGAAGATCTTTGTTGAAAATTGACAAATCTTTTAAAACAACGTGGATCTACCTTTCGTAGGAATGAACCGACAATAAATTTGGCCTTTAAAAAAAATCTTCCGTGCCGGAATGGCGAGTTTTATTTTTCTCAATCAAGCCAAATGATTTGATTGCAGTGAATAATCTTAAAGATGAAAATAAACAAAGAGTCGGACTAGATGGAGTTAATTTGAAAAGACAGACGATCGATGCACAAGCTTTTCTTAATGATCTCGATGATCGTCATCCATTCGTCATTCTGTTTTTCTTCGATTGTTGTTGAACATATCACTTAAAACATGAAGAGTTACAGAAAAATGCACCAAAAGGTGATTTATCTACCGATTTTCCTGGATTAAAACGAACGTCACAAAATGTGTTGTTGAACAATCAAACAAACAACAGATTCCACATGTCACATTTGCGTTGACTGAAAAGATTTTCTTATTCAATGAAAAATCTAAGTTATAGGAGAATTCTTTTTTCAAGAAAAATCTTTCAACATCATCAAATTTTGTTGATTGAAAGACGGTCTTTGCTAAAAAGATTTGATATTTGGGTCTCGAAAATAAAACCAAGAGGAACTTCTAATGAATTTTTACGCATTTTGGGATCTCAGTTTTCTTTTCCTTCTGCTTGATGTCTTTTGAAATATTAATTGTAAGATGAACTTGTTGTTTGAATAAAATAATCGATATCTCGCGTCTTCCATCCTACGAAAAATATAACAGAACGACTACACTGATTTACACGGTATCCTTAAAGATTGATATACAAAAGACAATGTCACATATAACAGTGTAAATTTATGTTGATGAATGAAATAGATCTGCGGATGTTTACAAACAAAATAATCTGAGTAGAAAGTTTCTAATGGTACATCGTTTCCTCCAAATCAATAACAATAATGCTAACATAGTGAGGACGGCAAATGTGAGAAATAACCCTCCCATTGAACCAATATCAACCGGTGTTGTCATCGTCGTGTCACTTGTTGCAGAACAGATCGATGATTGAATTCATTTTGTATATAAACCCTCTAATTGACCGATTTCTCTCAATGCTAATATATTAGCATCTAGTTCTAATAGTTTTGATTGCATATTCACCAACATTTCCATCAGTAAAAGCTACATTGATTTCTTTCGACTTTGTGATTGTGATCGTTCCAAAAAATAGAATAGACCACTGATACAAAGAGTCGGCGCTACAATCATTAGCCATAGACTATGTGTGAATGCTTTTAAATAAGATAGAAGATCATGATCATCATCTGATGTTTTCCGTATTATAAGACGTAAAGAAGAATCAACTATTCAAACGAAAAAGTCGACGTTCAAAAATCATCAATTGACGTATGTTACATATAAATCCAAAGATAAAATCACTATGTTTCTTCCATCTATATCCTGTAAACCAGTTCTCTTCTTCATCAAGGCTTCTGTGCTTGCCATAAAAACAATATTTACAAAGATTGCACGTATCAGAAGTTCAAGAGGCTATGTTAGGAATAGTTCAGCATCGAAATGAATACCAGAGGTCAAGTAAATAGTATGTGGAGAAAACTGAGATGTATACGAAAAGTCAACACAATGTTTCATTGGAAACTCAAAATAATATAAATAAATAAACATAGGGAACAATCTAATGCAAATATTAGAGGTAGAACAAATAGTTTTTAGATATCAATTCAATGCCACTGAGAAACATTCGAGATCCACAGTTCAAATCACCAAGTATGTCTGATAATAGAACACATGTTGACCATATAAGCAATAACTCAACGAAAAAGAACGAGAAGTGTTGGAAATTTTCTTCCGAATCAATCAGTCAATGACAATATTCGTCTCACATCCTCAGATTGGTCAAGTAGATCTAAAAAACATCGATTGCGCTGGAAACTCGTATATCATACCGATCTAAAACTAAATAAGTTTTAACTATAGAAATTCTCGTGCAGAATGTTATCTGAAAACTAACATCATAGAAGAGAAAATAAGTAATGATTATACGGAGCCAATAGTTGCTTTCGACAGTGCGACATAGATGACTAGAACATGATAAAATAGTTTGTGTACTTTCTTTATCTACGCGATTACTCTCAGAGTTTTATATTCAATAAAGATTTCGATCACATATAGTTTGATTTTTCTTTTCTTGCTGAACAAAATTTATGAGAAGCTGATAATGTCTCACTCTCGTAAGAATTAAGATGAGAATTTGTCTTAGCCATATGTTCAAGGTAGAAAGAAGTGAAAATAATCTAATGAAATATATTAATTGACATATGTTACAGAAAAAAGTACAGATAAAATTATATTATTTTCATAGTTGCCTTTATCAATTTCATATACGTAGAATATTCTAAATTATCTTGATTATTGTTTTCTAATAAACTAAATTCATACAAGCTGTACTCTAGCAAATTCTTTGTCGATTAAACTATGTTTATTTTGTACTTCAAGAAGATTATCGAATAAAATCATTACAAAGATGGAATAGATAACTTTCAATATATTCGTTAGAAATTCCAGCTATGTTTGATAATAGAACACATGTTGAAAATGTAAGTTATTGAATACAAAAGAATGAGGAAAAGTGTTTGTTTGAGACTTGATTTAGAATCAATCAGATAACAAAAATGCTCGTCTAATCTTAAATCCTCAATCAAAACTCTGGTATGTATATGATAAAAAGTAATTTCAATATATTAATGTGTTCTTGTAAGTCAACTTTAAACTTTGCTTTATATTCTTGTTTGATTTTAGTTGCAAAACTCAACATATTCAGAGAAAAATATCTTTGTTGATTATTGTTACTATTGTTGTGGTTTTGGTCATCATCATCATTCCAATAATTGTTACGAACCGACAAAATAAAAAAGGCCAACAGACATTAACAACAACATTTTCAGGAATCGAATCAGCATCTTCAATAATCACATTAACAGAAACGATTTCACGATGCAATGTTACATCGTGCCGTGAACGAATTCAGAAGTCTATTGCCCAAAATTGGACATATGATACAGTGAATTTTACTGAATGCAACAGTTGTTCTCGAGCGACTTACCCAAATTTTCCTTCAGATTGGTCAACTAGATGGTACGACATGAATTTCCTTATTTATACTTCAGAAAGTTCTGATTGCGCTGGAAATCCTTATATCGGTAATGTAGAGTTTTGTCAATATGCATGTTTGAAAGATATTACGTGTATCGGCTTTTCTCGAGCGAAAGCAGCTTTAGATAACAGCTCTAGTGCAGGATGTTACTTGAAAAAGAATATCAACTTGGATAAAGTATACAATCATGATATATGGTACACAATCATTTTTCGACGGTATGATATCGACTAAACAAAGAAGAACAGACGAAGACTATATAAAACATTTTAACAGTTTGTGCGTTTCCTCTCGTACTTTTGATGTTTGTATTCGATTCAGTAACAAATAAACTTACAAAACATACGACTTGAATCCGTTTAATGATGAATAGAATAGAATATGAACGTATTTTCCTCATTCAATTCTCACTTTATCCTTTGCCAGGGACTCATTCATAAAGATGTGAAGGTAATTTTATATTGGTATATTTTATCGTCGTACTCACATACATTTTCGAACTCGACCAAAAATCAATGAGATTAAACTATAATGCATAACATGTCATATGGGTTTGTCGTTTCTTTCAAAAGTGATCGATTAAACAAATATATAAGCAGACACACTAACTGATTCTGAAAATATAATAAATTCTTGAATGCATCAAAAAGAAAAACAACAAATAAAAATGTTTCGACAAAATATACTTGTGGTGTTACTTGATTTGGATTTTCGTTATCAAAATCGATACAAGACATATATGTATATAGATATAGAATGAAGTTTGGTGTTTCATGTTCAAAAGGAATATGTCGAATGGGCAAATATCAACACCGAAAGAGCAACGATAAGAGTACAATACATCAAAGTTTTACAACGGCACTTACAAACAAGCGATTCTATTTAAAAAAGGCTAACGACGAATAGATTCAATCGATATTTGCGGATTCATTTTTCGTATTGCACATCGTCTAATCAAATAATCGATGAATTTGACCAAATTGGGTACAGCAATTTTCAAAGCAGTAAATAAA